TTGTCCACCTCCGACCTCCCACCATTCCTCCAACATGCCTGTAGCTGACTACCAATAGAGAAAATCCTTTATCTTGGTGGACCAAATATTGCCTCAGAGATTTACAACAAAGAATATGATAATGCTCAAATTTGTGCACATAAAAATTGTTGTGTGTTTGCATTTTATACTGTGCATTTTGAGGGTAGACACCAACTCAATTTCAAATTACGATGTGCAATTGCGGTTGTGTTGTCCCCTTGGGGCACAGGTTGTTGGGCATGAATTGTTTGATTTTTGGGGATTGTAATGTTTGTTTTTCAGTTACGTATACAGGTTGACATTTCCATAGTCTCCTATTTCTAAAGGAAATTCTGCCGAAATTTGCAAAAAAATAGCGGGTTATTATTATAGATTAGATTGATGTAACTTTCTTTAATTATTTTGCAAAAATAATTAAAATTTTGCCTTCTCTTTAGCATTCTAAGATTTGAACGATCATGTGAAATTCATTATTGTTTTGGTTGTTTTGTTCACCTTTCAGTTTGTACACAGGTTCATATTTTAAAAAGAAATAATGTCAAAATTTTAAAAAAATATCGGGTTATTAGTAGATTGATTGATTTATGTGATCCAAAAAACAAAGTGTTATATTGAGTGAACAATTCACAAGCGTATTTAGTGAGTTGCAAAATGCCTTCCGTCATAGGTTGTTTGCCGTGATTTTTTCTTTACGTGTTTGTTGTGTGGACTAAGTTTGGTAAAGTGAATACAAAAAACATTGTGTTATTGGTTTATTTTGATTGGAATTGATGGTTGCCAAAGTTGATGGGCTTGGAATGATGATTTTTTGGAGAATTTTTATTGTGAATTCTGATTATTGTTATGTCAGATTGTGAACTGTAAATTCGAAAGACTGAGTTTGTAGACAAGTTGCAAATTTCTTGAAATTCTATTATTAGAGTAATCTCTGTCAGCATAGTAATTGCCCACAAATGTCAAGTTGTCTATATTGATTTCAATTTCTTTAATAAAAATAATTTAAAATACTAACACAAATACTGACACAAACGAAAATGACACGATCTAAAATTGAAATGACTGAAAATGACACGACACGAAAATAACATGATACGATAATGTCGTTTTGCCAACAAAGAAAACTAGCATGGTGGTCTAGAAGAAGGGACTAAAATGTTGGCCAATGCTCATGGTCATGGGCTTTAACGAAGCCGGCCCTTAGAACCAATTGAACAGATATGGAACTTTCCAAACAAAAAAAAAAGCATAAAGTCATATTTTCAGAGGCTATTCTGTCGAAAAATTGAAAATTTTTTTTACAGAATATCTATATTTTTACCCTTTTTATGTCACTAAAGTCATGACATTAAAAATGACCAAATGATTTTCAGCTTAATACATATTTATATTCATTATTTGATTATTTCGTGTTTAAGAATTATATACAGTGTCTTCGAACATGTGATATAAGGCGAGTTTAGGCCTCTAGTTCTGTGCTCGATTATTCAATGTTCAATTTTTTTTAGTTGAACTGTGCCTTCAAGTACGAGTTATCCCTAGTAAGAAAACAAATGGCGAATGCCACGGGTCACGACAATCGAAACAACCGAAGTAAAAGCCAAAGTAAACCACTGCCTAATCAAGGATTGATTTTTCAAGGGTTAAAATATACTTTTAGTGCTAAGATTCTTAATTTGTATTTACGTGGTTTTGTCCCACACGTTCACCAAAAAATCGTGATGGTTCTGATCGCGCGTTAATTATATGATTCTTAATTTTGTGTTTATTTAATTTCTAAAGTTCTTAATTTCTATTTATTTGGACCCACGTGATTGGTGCGTGAGCAAAAGACGTTATCAATTTTTTAACGAACGATTGAGATTGGATTACATGAATATAAATTAGGAATCTTAGGGTGTAAATAGACATAATTAAAAAATTATAGATCAAATAGACACTATACACATATTTTGGGATCAAAAGTGTATTTTATCCATTTTTGTATGATTTTTTCGATGAATGCCATGTAGTTGGTTGACTAGTTGGGCTTAAAGAAGTTTAATCACTGATCAAATAACCACAAACACAATCTTCCCCATTTTCAATCGACCAAAGCCAAGATCTGAAGTCCTTTCTCTGATTTCTATCTCTTCCCACCTACGATGACCACTCCATATCCAACACCCATAACCCCCTCCCAAACCAGCATAGGCTGGATAGGCATAGGTGTGATGGGCTCAGCCATGGCCTCTCGCCTTCTCTCCGCCGGCTATACCCTCACCGTCTACGCCCGCACCACTTCCAAAACTCTCTCTCTCCAATCCCAAGGCGCCCATATTGCCAATTCCCCCGCCGAGCTCGCCAAGCTAAGCGACGTTGTTTTTACAATGCTAGGTCACCCATCAGATGTTCGACAAATTGTCTTAGATAACCCCGCTGGCGTTCTTTCTGGCCTAAACGCTGGTGGCGTTGTTGTAGATACCACTAGTAGTCATCCAAAACTTGCTAAAAGAATTTTTGAGGTCGCCCGCGAGAAGAATTGTTGGGCTGTCGATGCTCCGGTGTCTGGTGGTGACATTGGGGCAAAAGAAGGCAAGTTAGCTATTTTGGCTGGTGGAAATGCGGATGTAGTGAAGTGGCTGGAACCTTTGTTTGATGTAATGGGGAGGGTGACCTATGTGGGTGGTGCTGGGTGTGGGCAGAGTTGCAAAATTGCGAACCAGATTACCGTGGGTGCGAATTTGGTTGGGTTGAGTGAAGGATTGGTGTTTGCGGAGAAGGCGGGGTTGGATGTGAGAAAGTGGATGGAGGCAGTGAGGGGCGGGGCAGCAGGGTCGATGGTGATGGAGTTGTTTGGCGAAAGAATGATTGGGAGGGACTTTAGGCCTGGTGGGTTTACTGAGTACATGGTGAAAGATTTGGGGATGGGTGTGGATGCTGGGGAAGAGGAGGGTGACAATGTAGTCGTGTTGCCTGGTGCTGCGTTGTCTAAGCAGTTGTTTTCAGGGATGGTGGCTAATGGGGATGGAAAGCTTGGTAGTCAAGGACTCATCACTGTTATTGAAAGGATCAATGGCAAGTGAGATACTTTCTCATTCTCTTTGTATACTATGGTCCTTGCCTTTGTCTTCTGAGCTGTTTCGTTTCTTCTAAATGATAAGTTCAAAGTATGTAATGAATAATGTGACTCTGAATCATCCTTACATTTATATGGAAGATCAGGTCAGTAAGCTAGTTACTTGGTCCTTTTTACAGTTTGGTCTATTAATTAGGCTAACCAAGACATTGAACTACATAATAAAATGACGTACCTAGTGTCCGAGACTCTTTGTCATTGCAAGACCTAACGAGAGTTAGATGTATGTAGTCTTATCCTGTAAACAAAGAGACTGCTTTCATAACTGAACCCTTAACCTTCATGCCACAACAGAACAATCTTACCATTATGACAAGGCCTGCCCTCACATTCAACTACATGATCACTCTGTTAATTACATGCAAATTGCTTAGACGTGTCGGCATGAATTGGGTGGTCAGGCCTCCTGTTAAACTTATTCCAGTTTTCCTAGAATTTTTGAAGTTTTTAGGCTTTTGGAGACATTGTACATCAGGTGCTGGTGACTTTACATACCCTAACTACTGATTAATATGGAGAGATGGCCTAAACACTTGTCAAGGGTAGTTTGAGTTTGATTTGTGGAACTCAAATCAAGCAAACACCATCTTATGAAGATTAGGACTGTTAATGGAGCTGAATTTTTTATTTTTTAGTATCCTTAAGTTCGGCTCAAATTGATTATCACAGGCTTGAGCTCGGTTCGGCATGACTCAACTTGTTTTTGTACTTGGAGTTTGAATTTGACAAAAGAGTATCTGCAAAACACACACCCAATAAGACTTGAACTAACAATATTTAGATTGGAATTGAAGGCACTTTATGGATTAACATAAACGTGATACTTTGTTATTTATTCGAGCCTACCTAACCGAGCAACACATTACTCAGGTTAGATTTGAATATGAAACAAGTTCAAATTTTGATAACGAAGTTGAACGAGTAATGCTTCACAACTTAAATGGAACTCAAAAAGTTGCAACTCAAATGCATATTATCTTTTGGACAAACTCATCCAATATTCATCTAAGTGATGATATGCATTTGGGTTTCATGAGTTGTGAAACATTTTCCGGTATTTCGGCAATTTCATTTCCCTTCATTTTGGTGTTGGTGGAGTGGTGACCATGATTAAAGAATTTTTTGATAAGGAGAAAATTTAGTCCATTGAAATCAAAATCTACACGTTACTCATATAACATTATATTAAAGAAAATTGAAGAAAAAAAAGTAATTGAGAGAGTTTGAATTCATAAAATTTGGAGGTACGGTATTTATTTATTGGGTGCTATAATGAAGTCCATGAGGGGCTATTTGGTAAGTGGGATTAGGGGGAGGGGGGCTTTGGAAGATGGGTTGGGAAAAAATAGTCTAAATGACACACAAAATTCATGTGTTGGCCAAAAATTTGAAGCTTGGGTTACCAAGTCCAGTTCGTTATTGGTTTGGATTTTAAACCCCAAATCATGGGTTTAATCAAACCTGTCTGAGGGGGGGGGGGGGGGGGGGAGGGAGGGTGGGTTTTGGATGAGGGGTAACGGGTTCAGGATACAAAAATACAATTATATCCCCATATATATACAAACATAGATTTTGATTAGATTGATGTAGGAGCAAAATAGTCATTTATATATAAATATATTATCATAATAGTGATATATTTGTGGGCACATTAAATATGGATATAAACTGAATTTAATGTTGAATTCAATTTTTATAAAAAGGGACTTAAAATTAAAAGAGTTTAAGGAATTCGATCCATACTTTTCTCAAAAAAACCATCTAAACAAGCCCGTGATGAAATGGACTCTTCGGATATAGGACGGAGACTTTTGCGGTGGAAATCTGTCTAATTGTCCAAAGCATAAGGCCAGAATGTGTTTCATCATTTGAGCTGTGGGCTGAAAGTGGAACAGGACCCAATAAAACTGATTGTGCATTTTTTTTGTTCAATGACACTAAAAGGTGTTATTTTATTTTATTGTTTTCATGCTCGATGAATTTTTATTATTAAATTAAAATTTATGATTTAGAATAATTTATAATAATATAACAGAACCTCCAGTTTGAATTGTTTAAATTCCTCGGTTAGAAAAATATAATAACGACCCAGATCTTTTAGATCTAACGATTTATATTATAATTAAAATTTTTAATCTTTTAATTATAATAACTCATTTAAAGTTTAATTTTTAATCTTATAAATTTAAATTTTAACTTTTTTAGCTACACTAAGTCAATTCATATTTAAAAAAAAATGTACTTTATAGAAAGCAGGATTCATTTTTTAATATTTATAATATAAAATAATGTAAACTTCAATAAATTTATCTGTTGATCTCAAATAGACTCATATAATGATCACTAATATCTGTATTAAAATTATTTAGATTACACCGTATTTTAAAATACAAAATTTCACAAGTGATACGGAGAAATAAAACTTACAAAACGATGGTCTTATCCTAAAAGGCAAAAAATATACTAATTAATTGAATACGTGTGTGGTCCATTATTATCCACTTAAAACAACTTGTGGATGGTGGAAAGATTTGGGGAGAAGTTTCAAATATTTCAAATCAATGAGTCTTGATTAGACTTTAAATAAAATAATCTTTAAAGTCAAAAGATAGGCATTTAGGCACCCTTTATAATTTCAATTTCAATAAATATAATTGAGACACGTCTAACTAACATAAGTGGAGTTCACTAAATTTATTTGATGGGATGATATTAATGATGACTGATATCATGTGTCAATTATTATAATATAATGTCACACTTATATTTGATTATTTACTCTTTATAAGATTTTTTGGGCCTTATCAAAATAATTCACCACCTTTTCGTAATTAGAACAGAAACTAAAAAATTTCTCACCCTCACCAAACTCCAACTAAATTTCTTTTTATTTCTTTTCCAACCACCTTTGTCGGCCTCAATTAGAATAATGTTATTAGAACCTAATTCACCGTGACATTTGGATTCACTGTAGACCCTATCAAATATTGAAACTTGATGTTGATCCAATAATTCTTATAAAATCACATCATTATATCAACAGATTAAATCAAATTTTTAAGTCTAAATAGTATTACTCTCTTCTCTATTCCTCAATTCTCTCTCTTTCCCTGCACACACATGTGAAATCTGTGTTCACTTCAATTCAATTCTCTCCTTCCCTCTCTCAACCACGCACACATGTGAAATATGTGTGGGCGTGTATTATCATTGTAATGCCTCACTTTAATGTAAAAAATGTCATCTTAACTATACAAGTTTGCCTTGTTTGTCACAATTAGCGTCAAATAACTCAATTTCAACGCGACAAACTTGTATTGTTGACAATTCAAAAAAAAAAAAACTTGTCACCCTTTTATTTTTTGAATCTTCACTAACATCCCTATCAAATTAAAAATATTAACTAGAATATCATTTTACTAAATCGCTCATGATATATTTTTTAAAAAATTAGACATATCTTCAATGAGATCCCTGTGTTTTCTATTTTTTTAATTATTAAAATTCGGGCCTAGCTAATTAAAATTTAATTTTTACATATTAAAATTTGAATCGATTAAAAATTATATTTTTTACGTATTAAAATTTGAATCGATTAAAATTCTATTCGAGTTGATTAAAATTCATTTTTAATCAGTTCGAATCAAATATTAATCAACTCGCTCTGAATTTTAATTTGTCGGAATTTGGATACATAAAAAAATATAAATTTTAATCGACTCAAATTTTAATACGTAAAAAATAAATTTTAATTAACTTGAATCAAATTTTAATAAGTAAAAAATATAAATTTTAATCGAATTGATGCAAATTTTATCGGAGGTAACAACTCAGGTAGAACTCAAAATCTCTCAAATTTTCATATGTAAAAAAGATATTTTGATAGGCTTGAGTTTTAATATGTAAAAAAAATAAAATTTAATCAGCTAAAATCGAATTTTAATAGACTTAAATTTCAATGTATAGAAAATTAAATTTTAATCAGCTCAAATTTTATATATGTAGAAAAATAAATTTTAATTAGCTCAAATTTTAATCAAATTTTATGTAGAAATATTGTTTGTGGTTTATCTATGTGCAATTTTAGTATTTTAAATGATTTTTTTAGGTTAGAAACGATGGTTTAACAGTAGGGGTGTTAATGATGTTTAAATATAAATTAGATGGAGTTTTAGTGATATTTTGAAGAATAAAAGGGTGTTTTTGAATATATAATAAATTAAAAGTGATGTGACTAAAATTTTTCTATAACAGTAAGATCAGAAATTTTTGAGGAGGACTTGCTTAAGATATCGACAAAATAAATTATATATCTTTTAAATTTATTACTTGAATGGGTACTTTTTATATTTTTTGTGAGTTATTTTATAACTAAAAATTTATCATTTTTGTGGATAATTTTACTATTTGTGTGAGTGTTTTTATTACTATTACCATAATTATTTTTATTATTTTTTGTTAGTATAAATTTTTTTATCACTTTTGTGAATGTTTTTATCACTGTTATAGTAATTATTTTGTCCACTTTTTTCAATACCACAATAGTTAAAAAAATACCTACAAATATAATAAAATTAGCCACAAATACTATAAATATTGTTAAAATACCTTAAAAAAATATCGGTAATATAGACAACTTGTTTTGGGGATACGCTATTTATGGAAACCCCTTATAATTTCAATAATTTACACAAAAAAAAAAACCATAATTGAGACACACCTATCCGGATCGAGTGTGGGGTTCACTAAGTTTACATGATCAGTTGTTAATGGTTACTGATATCACGTGTCCGTGATGAAATAATATACTTGCTATATTATATATTAGAGGTAATTCATGACTGCAAGGTGCTATATGAATGATTTTGAAAAGACGTTGATAATCGTTTAATGAATTTATTTGATATTACTGAATGAACTTATTAAAATTTGACGTGTTTTATATTTCTAATGTTATTGAGACATAACATTACCAAGGCTTATACACCTGATGTTATTAAAATGGTGTTTTATATTTCTAATGTTATTAAAATGGTGTCTCATGGTGGTTCAACGGCGGAGACTCGGACGTGGTCATTGTCTTCTTGGGTATACACCTGGCCAATTCACCTATTTCTTCTTGGCAGGAACCATAGGTATCCTGCGGGGTTTATCAACTGAATTTGTCAGCAGAGCTTATAACATAAATGAAGAAGAAGCTCACTTGCTCGTGAACAGTCAAACCGGTGTTCTGATTGTTAAACTTGAAGAAGGTACCATTTGATAATGTTTATCTAAGTATTTTAGTTACTTATTTTAATAGAATTTTTTGATTAAATTATTTATTTTCATTGTATACAAAGATGTATTCAGGATCGTTCGATGACATTTTTCTTAATCTTTTTGTTTTTTCAGTTACTTTTTTCAAAAAAATGTTTGCTTTTTTCATTTATATACGAAGATACATGTAGATCACTTTCTTAGATAGTAAATTAAATATGTTTTTATTTATTTTTAACAAAAATACATTTCGTTTAAAATGTTTCTTTAAAAATAAGTTACTAAATGAAACAGGAATCAACATGCCTCAGCCATGCAAGGACAATACCAAAGAGGGATTGGTTGCCAACATTGATGAAGCTGTACCAGATGTTGCGGTGAAGAATGACGGATTGCTCTCTTTGATCACATCGGAGAATTTTCCGGTGCTTGGACAGATCGGACTCAGTGCAAGTCTTGCAAAATTGGAAGCTAATGCCATGTTGGCTCCCATGTACACAGCAGATTCATCAGTTCAAATGGTTTATGTCAGCAGTGGCAGTGGAAGGGTTCAAATGGTGGGGTTTAATGGTCAGAATGCTTTGGACACCAAAGTGCAGGCAGGGAAGCTTTTTGTTGTACCCAAATTCGTCACTGTTTCAGTAATTGCAGAAGGAGAAGGAATGGAGTGTTTCTCTATCCTAACATCTTCAAAGTAAGAACCATTTTAATTATGCATTATAGCACAATAGTTTAGTAATTAACGTCTATGAAAATCCTAAGTTTTCAAAAATATTTAAAAATCTATCTAGAGTAACTGGAACGGGAACTCTTTAGGATTAGCATCTGGGGTTTGAAATTCAAGTACAATTATTGGATAAATTATACTTACACCAAGTGAACTATCACCCTTTTTCACTTTGTCCCCTCAACTATTAGATTTTTCACATTACACCATCAACCATGTAATTAGTTTTGCATTGTTGCAATTATTAACGTCCATTTCATATTTAATGAAAATTTATTTTATTTTTCCCCCCAAACTATATAATGTTTTTCACTTTACTTAAACATTACAATGATTTCTGTCCAAAAGATAATAAAAGTATGTGAATAAGGCAATGTGAAGTAAGAGTGTTCATTGAGGGTGTAATGTAAGAATTTTTTTAATTGAGGGGTAAAGTGAAAAAAAGGTGATACTTCAGAAGTGTAAGTATAATTTAACCACAACTATTTGTTGCCCAATGTGTGTGGTTCAGCAAGTACTTAATTTAAAGAGATGTAGTTGTGAGACGATTATTCATTAGGAAAAAAAATTTACTCAACCATACATAACATAAATTTCTTTAGAAACTTACAAAGCTCTCCCATCTAATTCAAGTTTTATCCTAAATACAGTTGGGTGAGTGGCACTTTGTCGCTAAAGGACTATAAAATGTCCACTTTACTCTCCCGAATTAAAAGACTCAAGTTGTACTTCAAATTTTTGTAAGAAAAATGTTACATAATTCAAATAAAACTCAAAAGTTAAAATTTAAATGAATATCATCTTTTGGATCAGTGGATCCCACTGAAAGAATTAATAGAACTCATTTATTCAAGCGATGATATGTATTTGAGTTGTAATTTTTTGGATTTCATTTAAGTTTTGTAACATTATTTATTTTTTCAAATTATAACTACATTACCATTTTCATCCTTTCTATTGACAAATTTATTTCCCAAATTGGGACAAAAAGGGCCAAGTGGCTGCCACTTTTAGATGTTCAAGATGTAATTGAGGTGACATCTTAAATTTCTAAAGAGGCAAATTGAAAATTCGAAAAGGAAAATGTTATCTGGACGTAAAATACTAACTTGATCAATCGTTGTTATTATTTAACTGTATATTTTGGTATTTATTGGGATCCACTTCCTATAAAACCATTCTTATTTTATGTATAGATGTTTATTATTTTTTTTCCCAATTCTTTTGTAGACCATTATTTGGGCATTAGCTGGGAAAACATCAGTGTTGAAAGCTTTGTCTCCTTCAGTTCTACAAGCCTCTCTGAATGTCAGTCCACAATTTGAGGAACTTTTCAAGTCAAAGTCTGAAGGGAGCACAGTAATAATTTGATGAGACATTTTCGAAATATTCCAAGATGAAGATACGTGTCATCGGTGTCACTAATCCTTGTTACCAAGATCACATACCCATCGGTTCACAAGTTCCCTTTCCCACGAGGTACTTATCATAGGGATCAAGTGGCATCCAGTACGTTTTTATGTACCGACATGTACCCCTCGGTCTGATATGGTACATCGGTCGCTAGGCTTCCCCTCTCCGCTCCGAGATGTACCTCTTTCTTGGCTCCGAGATGTACCTCTTCCTCAGTACCGAGATGTACCCCCTCGTCCAGGATGCCGTTCTCTGCTCCAGCAGAGGCTATTGATGTACAGGTCACTAGCCTAGGCTAGGCTAGGTTAGCTATCATGACCTCGTCTTACACAATTGGTGTCAGAAGGCATAGAGGACAGGGGACACAGCCAATGGGGAATGGACGCGTGGCATATTGTGTCACATCAGAGACAGAAAGACCGGATGCCCTTGCTGACATACGACTTGGGAAAGCAAGCATTTAATTATACCATTCCTTTGATGAGACAACATTTAATGCGGTAAGGCTCGGAAGTGAAAGGTAATAAATGTCTCTAAGACTGGACATTTATTACATCCTTGCAGAGAGGAGTTCATTGAACCGTCGACAGGCCGATGACACAGTCTTGATTGCTCAAGGTCCCGAGCAGTTAAAAGAGAAGACATTTCTCGTAGGAATCAGTGCGCACGTTGCCTGTATCTAATGATCACCTACTGACCACACTACAGCAATCATGAGTATTTGAGGTATAAATACTCCTCACAAAAGGCAAGACAAACAAGGTGAAACCTTTGCTACAAATTATACTCAGTGTTTTCTTCTTCCTCTCTCTCAAAAACTGACTTGATCGTCGGAGGGGATACGCCGGAAAACACTTCGGCGCCCTTCTAACTTGTTCTTCTTTGTTCCAGGAACCTTTCTTCAGCCTTAATGGATCGTTCCATTGATCCACGAGGGTCTCCCATTACTATTTCAGGTTACCACCGGACCTCACAAGCTGTTCCAAGCAGCGGGGTTGACCACTCGACTGACTCACTCGAGTTCACCAAGGGAGAGATCTGTTCTCGTATTTATATTGTGCAAGATTCAGCACGCACAATCTGGCGCCGTTTGTGGAAAACGACTAGTTTTCCTAGTTTTTTCTCTATAAAGAACAGTGACCATGGTGAACACTCGACAAAAAGGGAAAGGTCCCCACCAAAGAAGTCTCGAATTACAAGCTCCCTGTCACCATGCAGGGAGGGATCACACTGATGGGAATAAAAATGTCTCTACTCAGTCAAGAGGGGTTACCCCTCAAACCAGTATGGGAATCAGGTCAGGAGGATCAGCCCCCTTGGCTCGTCAGCTGGCGGAGGTGATCGAAGAAAAGTTTGGCGATAGATTACGACAGCTGGAAAAGGACAATGTAAACGTCCTAAGCCGGCTCAACGAATTTGCCACCTCCGGCGAAGGGTCGAGGGACTCATTCCTTTCTCGTGGGCTCCCCGCCCAGGAGGCGAAAACGAAGGATCTAAGGAATCATCTAAACAACAAGGCAGAAAGCTCCAGGGCCCCAAAGCGATCGAGAGCCAACGAACACCCTCCTAACGACCATTCAAGGAAGGCAAGGCCATTAGCCCTGGACGACCTCCGGCGAGGATTGTCTAGACGGAGGAAAGGAGATGAGTCCGAGGAGGATTCTACCCTATCCACACGGCGCCCAGGAAATGGGGGGCCTATTGATGAACTCAAGGACTTCAGAAGACATCCCATCAGGGAGGAAATTGATCTTAGAGCCCGGTTGGAATCCAGGAGAAAGAGTAAGGCTGTCCAGGATGAGGTCGAAGACGAGGTCATACAAACACCCTTTACCAGGGAGATCGGAGAGATGGAGGTTTCAAGAAAGTTCGTCGTGCCGAGGTTCAAAACTTATGACGGGCGGTCCGATCCCGAAGCCCATCTCAGGCAATACAAGCAGATGATGTCCCTCTATCATTCAGATCAACGATTCCTCTGCCGAGTGTTTCCTATGAGCTTGGGGGACTCTGCGATGAAGTGGTTCGAGGCGCTTCCCCCCAACAGCATTGGATCGTGGAAGGAATTGACGAGGCAGTTCCTGGCTCGATTTATTACGGGGAGTAAGCGGCCTAAAGACGTTGGATCATTGCTAACGCTCAGACGTAGGGAATCCGAGACCCTTCGCCAGTATGCCATCCGGTACTGGGAAGAGGTCAATGAGGTAGAAGGCTGCTCGAAAGTCATGGCAGCGGCGTCTTTCAGGCTCGGCTTGGCAAGGGACACGGACCTGTACCGATCCCTGACCAAGAAGACTCCCTCGGATATGGGCGAGCTGATGGCCCGGATAAATAAATACTCAAGGATCGAGGACGAGATGGGAAGCAGCAAAGACCGAACCCTCCAATCTAAGAGAAAAGAGAGGGAGCGGGAGGATACTCCCCGAAAGGGACTGCTACCCCCTCCAGGGGGTCGTTCAAAGGAGTTCACACTATGTTCAAGGAACCCATCTTCAAGTTGCTCCATAAGATCAAGCATGAGCCATTCTTCAAGTGGCCGCCCAGGATGCAGAGCGATCCCTCCACCCGTGATCAAAAGGTTAGGTGTTCCTATCACTGGGATTTCGGACATCGCACCGAAAGCTGCAGGGTATACAAATCGTTCTTGGAAAGATTGGTCCGAGACGGATACTTGAAAGAATACATAGAGCCCAGGCCAGAAGAGAGACACACCCCTGCCCCGACCGAGGAGCCGGACAACGTCATAGATGTCATCCACGTATGTCCCCTAGATCGCCCCACGTCCAAGGAACTCGAGTCCGATCTCAAGAGGGTAGCTTTTACAAGGAAGATAACCGAGGATGATGGGGGGCCACCCAGTAAAAGGGCCAGGACTGGTGAGCCCAGCATCACGTTCTCCGACGCGGACTTGAAGGGCGTGGTGACTCCTCATAACGACGCCCTTGTCTTAACCCTGAAGATAGGTAAATTCGACGTCAAAAGAGTGTTGATAGACTCCGGAAGTTCCTCGGAAGTGATGTACTCTGAGACTTTAAAACGGATGGGTCTTGGCCTCAAGGACCTCACCAAGGTCAGGACACCCCTCATTGGATTCAACGGCTCGTTCGCCCTGCCCGTAGGCAAAATCACATTGCCCGTTGTCACGGGTCCCTTCATCATCAACACTGAGTTTGTCGTGATTGATACGGACTCTCCCTACAACGTGATTATGGGACGAACATGGCTGCATGCGTTGGGAGCGGTGCACTCCACTTATCACCAGAAACTAAAATTCGCCACGCCAGAAGGTATCATGGAGATCCGGGGGACCAAGCGTCCGCAAAAAATTGTTTTTATTCAGCTGTTAGAGCCTGGGCGTTCACCCAAGAAAAGGGGCGAGCACCGGAAGAGATCATGGAAAATAGCAATCACAGTCCGGGCGTCCAGGAATGGATGACCCCCGGATAGACCCAACTGAGCGGTCGGTGGAGGACCTCCGGAAGGTGCCCTTGGTGGAGGGAGAAGAAGAAAGATACTTCTTAGTTGGAACCGCGATGCCTGCAGCCGAACAGGAGGAGATGA